TGGCGAGTGCACATGCCCTATAGCAAAAACCTCTCCAAAAAAAAAAAAAATCAGATACTATACCTGTCATTGTTCTCCTGTATGTAACATGTCATTTTTCTCTGACTGCTTTCAAGATTATGTCTTTATGTTGGGATTTCAGCAGTTTGACTGTAGTGTGCTGGGTATGATTTTCTTATATTTATTCTGCTTGGAGTTCTTTGAAATTCTGATTTATAAGTTAATGTCTTTCACTAAATTTGGCAAATTTGGGGCCAGTGTTATTATTATAGTTTGCTAGAGGGCATGTGTGCTCACTGGAGAGAGAGAGAAAGAGAGAGAGAGAGAGAGAAAGCACTCCCCCATGGAGGATGGTCATGCTGCAGTCCCTTCTCCTCCATTCCTTCAGGATGTTGGGCACACACATACAAGTACCTACTGCGTTTTCCAACCTCCAGTTCCAGGACTTGAACTGTGCAGTCAGCCATGTGAGATCCAGCTACCTTAACCACTGTGCCACCAGCTGGCCCTGGGGCCATTATTTTTACAAATATTTTCCATTCTACTCTCTTTTTTTTCTCCTTCCGAAGTTCTAACTGCTTGTAGAGTAGACTGATATCATTAAACAGTTATCTGACAATCTACTCATTTTTCTTAAGTAATCTTTTATGTGTTCTTCAGGTTGGATAATTTCTACTCATCTGTCTTCAAATTCACTGATTTCATTTCTGATCTTCTGTGAAGTCCATTCAACGAAATGTCAATCAATACTTGGAATTTCAATTTGGTTATTTTTTGAATAGCTCCTCTTTTCCACTAGAATCCCCCAACTGCCCATTCATTATCCATATCTTTTCCTTTAAGTCTTTGACATATCAGGGAACTTCAAAAATTTCATGGAAAATGAGCTTAAAGTATGAGTTTATTTTGCTGTAAGTATTTCTTTTTTTTTGGAGAGAGATTTTCACTGTAGGGCGCGTGCGCTCGCCAGACAGACAGAGAGAGAGAGACATAGAGACAGAAAGCGAGAAATCACCCCCCAGGGGGGATGGTCACGCCACAATCCCTTCTCCTCTATTCTCCTCTCGGGATCTTGGGCACGCACGCACACGCACCCGGCGTGAGTTTTAAGCCACCGGGTCCGGGACGCGAACAACGGTCGACTACGTGGGAGTCCAGCGACATAGCCATTACGCTAACTGCTGGTTCCCGCTGCAGGTATTTCTGAAATCCATGCTTACTTTCTTCCCGAGACGTATGTTCCATAAACCTTGGAAGACCTCCCACTCCGTACCCTGTGTCTGTATGAGGCGCACCGATGGCTGTGCCCTGCAGTGCCCACGTGTCAGAGCTGGTGTCTGTTGCCTATGTTTTTTGAGTATAGCTCACACTTCTCTGTTAGTTTCCAAGTCTAGAGGATTTGGACATCACTCATTATTCATGCTATTTTTGTTGAGGCTCTGCTTTGTTATGTTCCTTGGAAGAGTGATTTTTGTTATAGCAGGCAATCTAGTTGGCTGGACTCAACTCCAAACTTTGTCTTCTATGTTGTGAGCAAAAGTTGAAATCTCTGCTCAGTTCTTTCAGGTTCTAGCTGTTTTATTATTATTATTATTATTATTATTATTTTATTTAACTTTGTTTATTCACTTATTTTAATTTGACCAGAAAGGGACAGAGAGAGAGAGAGAAAGTGAGAAAGCAAGTTGTCAGGTCTGGGACTTGAACCATGGTTGGCCATGTAGGAGTCCACTACCCTTAACCACCATGCCACTTGCTGGCTCCTATAATTTTTGGGTTTTTTTGGAGAGGTTTTTGCTATAGGGCACGTGTGCTCGCCAGACAGACAGAGACATAGAGACAGAAAACAAGAAATTACCCCCCAGGGGGGATGGCCATACCGCAATCCCTTCTCCTCCATTCTCCTCTTGGGATCTTGAGCACGCACGCACGCGACATAGCCATTACACTAAATGCTGGTCCCTCCTATGATTTTTTTTTTAAGAGAGATTTTTGCTACAGGGTACATGCACTTGCTGGAGACAGACAGAGAGACAGCGAGAAATCATCCCCCAAGGGAGTGGTCACACCGCAATCCCTTCTCTTGCATTTCCTCTCAGAATCTTGGTTATAACATGCACATGTGCCCAGCGTGAGTTATTTATTTTTTGGAATTATTGATTTAATTTTATTTATTCATTCATTTATCTTAATTTGACCAGAGAGAGAGAAAGAGAAAGCAAGCTGCCAGCCCCGAGACTCGAACCATAGTCGACCATGTGGGATTCTAGTGCCCTTAACGACCATGCCACCTAGCAGACCCCCAGCATGAGTTTTAAGCTGCCAGGTCCGGGATTCGAACTGTGGTCTATTATATGGGAGTCCACCAACATATCCATTACGCCATCTTCTGGTCTCACTTTGATAATTTCTTAAATATTTTGCCATAGGGCACATGCACTCACCAGTGACAGACAGAGAGGCAGTGAGAGGGAAAGATGGCCTCTCACTGGGGAGATGGCCATGCCGCAATCCCTTTTTCTCCATTCTCCTGGGCTTTTGGATATGCATGCACATGAGTCTCACGTGATTTTCAAGCCACTAGGTTCAGGACTCAAACCGCAGTCAGTCATGTGGGAATTCAGTGCCTTAGCCACTACGCCACCTGCTGGTCCCGATTTTATAATTCTTTTTAACCTGCAGAACTATTTGTCTGAGAAAGTTATTCTGACATCACCATGAGTGAGAAGCCCCTCTTTTATTTTTCAATTTTATTATTATTATTATTATTATTCATTCAATTGCTACACATCCTTTGGCTTGCAAAGATAATTTACCCAACATGAACTACGCCTCAGACCAGTCCAGTTGAGAATATTACACACGTTGTCATCAACGGGTGATAAACCATTACTGTGTCCCACAAATGTCTTGCTTCCCTCTTTTTCCCCTAATTTCCTCCCCTACACTCTTCCCCTCTCCCACCCCCCTTCCACACTGTCTCCAGTGTCCATAACTATTTTCAATACTTTCATGTCCTCCAGTCTTTCCGTCTCTACCGTAGAGTGCAGATAATCACTATGTATACAGTGGAGACATACAATATCTTCCTTTCACAGCCTGGCTTGCTTCACTCAGCAATAAATCTTCCGTATTCATCCACTTTGTATCGAATGCCAGGGTCTTGTTTTGTATGGCTGAGCAGTATTCCATAGAGTGTATGTGCCACACTTTTCCAATCCATTCATCTGTTTGTGGACATTTGGGTTGGTTCCATGTCTTAGCAATTGTGAATAATGCTGCAATAAACATGGATATGTAAGCGCTTTTCCGACTGAGCATTCTCCTGCCCTCTGGGTATATATACCCAGGAGTGCAATTGCTGGATCACATGGTAGTTCTATTTGTAGGTCTTTGAGGAACCTCCACATTGTTTTCCACAGTGGCTGGACCAATCTACACTCCCACCAGCAGTGTAGGAGGGTTCCCTTTCACCACGTCCCGCCAACACTCATCATGTTTTGTATTTTCAATCTTCGCCATTCTGACAAGGCTTAGGTGGTATCTCACTGTTTTTTTTTTTTAGAGGTTTTTGCTATAGGGCGCGTGTGCTTGCCAGACAGACAGACAGAGACAGAGAGACAGAAAGCGAGAAATCACCCCCCAGGGGGGATGGCCACACCTCAATCCCTTCTCCTCCATTCTCCTCTCGGGATCTTGGGCACGCACGCACATGCGCCCAGTGTGAGTTTAAGCCGCCGGGTCCAGGACTCGAACCGCGGTCAACTACGGGAGAGTCCAGCGACATAGCCATTACGCCATCTGCTGGTCCCACTCACTGTGGTTTTGATCTGCTTCTGCTTTATGGGACAGATGTTGAGCATTTCTTCATATGCTTTTTGAGAAGTCCCTCCTTTTTACTTTAAATGTCTCCCATACCACTTGTAACCCTCTAAAACAGTACATTATGGATTTATTTATTGCTAAAAGGCGAGGGAGCTTCCTAGAGAGAGACAGAGAGGAAGACAGAGGAGAGAACGCTCCCCATGGGGAATGGTCAGCCCACAATCCCTTCTGCATTTTTTCCTTCTTCTGGGATTTTGGGCATGCACACACATGCACTCGGTATGTTTCTCAAGCTATTGGGTCTGGGTCTTGAGCCACGGAGCTGGTCACGTGGGCTCTGGCTGCCTCTACTGCCAGGCCATGGAGCAGCCGGTGGTTTCCTTACCACGTGCGTTATATCTGACATCCCCATGAACAATGCCATTGTGACGTAATAAGCACTCAGTAACAAAGAATGGAGTGAAGAAAGGAGCGGAGGGACTGGGAGCCCCGCTGGAGAGCGGCCTGTGGCTCTGACCCGCGGTCACTCTTGTTCTAGGAAGATGAGCCCTTCGGCATGCCGGCCCGAGGAGACGCAGTGCCTCCGTGTGGTGACCGAAGCCGTCCTGTCCATGTCCTTCATCGTGGGCGTGCTGGGCAACGGGCTGGTGCTGTGGATGACCGCCTTCCGCATGGCGCGCACCGTCACCACCGTCTGGTTCTTCAACCTGGCCCTGGCGGATTTCACCGTCTCCCTGTCCCTGCCCATCTCCATCCACGTGGTGAAGACTGGCGAGTGGCCCCTGGGGACCTGGGGCTGCAAACTCTACATGGCCTTCCTGGCCCTCAACTTCCTAACCAGCATCTGCCTCCTGGTCCTCATCTCCGTGGACCGCTGCGTCTCCGTCCTCTGCCCCGTGTGGGCCCGAAACCACCGCACGGTGCAGCGGGCCACCTGGCTGGCGGCGGGCGTGTGGCTCCTGTCCGCGGCCATCTGCTCTCCTCCGTACCTGATGTACCGGGCCGCCGAGGAAAGGGGCGGGTGCGTGCATTGCTTCTTCAAGTTTGAAGAGAACGACGCTGCGCTCAATCAGAGTGCCAGGGCTCCGCTGCGACACGCGGCCCTGGCCGTCACCCACTTCGTGCTGGGCTTCCTGACGCCGCTGGCCATCATCGGCGCGTGCGCGCACCTCATCAGGGCCAAGCTGCGGCAGGAGGGCTGGGTCCACGCCGGCCGGCCTAAGCGGCTGCTGCTGGTGCTGGTGAGCGCCTTCTTCATCTTCTGGTTCCCCTTCAACGTCCTGCTCCTGGTCCAGATGATTCTAGAAAAATTCAGCGACCCCAACATGCTGCTCTTCCTCTGGACCGCCTTCTCCTTGGGCTGCCTCAACAGCTGCCTCAACCCCTTCCTCTACGTCTTCATCGGCAGGGATTTCCAGGAGAAGTTTTTCCAGACCTTGCCTTCTGCCCTGGCCAGGGCCTTTGGCGAGGAGGGGCTTAGTCATCCTGGCCCCGAGGAGAAGCCCCCAGGGGAAGACGGACGCCTTCAGGCCGAAGCCGGGCGTCTGCCTTCTTAGCTCGTGCCCCTTGCTGCACTGGCTGCCAGGGCCCTGCCAGCCCTGCTTTCCGCGGCGTCCCCGCAACCCTCCCTGAAGCTGTGGTGGAGACACGCCACTATTCCTCTCCGTCCTTCCCCCCTACAGTAAGGCTCCTGCGGTTTTCAGCTGGGCACGTGATTAGCCGGAGAGAGAGCAAGAGCGAGAGAGAAAGAGAGAGAGAGACCCACGTCTCAGTCTCCCTGCAAACTTTTCCCCGGAAGGATGGGGTGGAAGTAATCACGTAACTTTCTCCAGCTGCCCGGAAATGGAAGGCGTCTGCCCGCCGTTCTTCACTTCCCCTTTATTTTCTCTTTCTTTCTTTTTAAAATATTTTATTCATTTATTTCTTCCATGAGCAAGAGAGACATAGAGACAGGCACCCGGCAGAGTCCCCGCACCGCCGTCTACCTGCAGCGTCTGTCAGTTGGGACACGGGCTTGTGCACGGATGCCCAGCATACTCAGCGAGTCTTGGGATGCGAACTCAGGACTTTCCCCATGTGAGTCCAGCTCTGCCACTGCTGTGCTACCGCCACTTAGCCCCTTTCCTTTTCTGTTGTCTAGAATCAAGAGGTCTCAGTTAGCTTTTTCTGGGTAACAAACATCCCCCAAATGTGAATACTTAAAATCACAACCATTTATGATTTAATGGGTTAGAAATCTGGACTGGGCTCCGCTGGGCGGTTTTCTCATCTTGGCTGGGCTCCCTCGTGCCTCTACGGGCCAGGCGAGTCGCTGCTTCTGGGCGAGGGGGTTGGCTTGCCGCTGAGACGATGGATTGGCTAAGCTTTCTCACACGGTGACTGGGGAGGGCTCCAAGAGTGGGAGAAGCATTTGCCTGAAGCTCAGAACTTTGCAGAAGGCGACAACCATTTTGTGTTACTGGTCAACCCAGGTCACCAGGCTAGTCTAGACTCAAGGTATGAGGAAGGAGACTCCACCTCGCAATGGGCAAGTCTACAGAGTGGCATTGCAAGGAGGCATGCAGAAACGGGGCTTTATGCCTCTGCCACAGCAGCCATGATGGTGAGCCATGCGGAGAGCTACCACGTCCCCGAGGAGTCCTCATGCCAGCCCTGGGATGCTTACACCCAGCCTGTGAAGAGAGGTTTCATGGGGCCAGCAGATGGTGTAATGGTTATGATGCTGGACTCTCACATAGCTGACTGCAGTTCGAGTCCTGGACCTGGTGGCTTGAAACTCATGCAAGGCACGTGTGCATGCGTGCTCAAGATCCCAAGAGGAGAATGGAGGAGAAGGGATTGCAACGTGACCATCCCCCTGGGGTGATTTCTTGCTTCCTGTCTTTCTGTCTCTGTCTCTCTGTCTCTCCAGCAAGTGCACGCACCCTATAGCAAAAATCTCTCTTAAAAAAAAAAAAAAAGAACAGAGATTTCAAACGCATTGATGGCACTTTGTGTGACATGAGATAATACATTTCCTTATTGTCAAAGTCACTTGGAGTCAGGTTTTCTGGTACTTGAAACTCAAAGCAGCCCTTACTGGGATGAGCAGGTGGCGTGGTGGTTAAGGCGCTGGACACTCCCACATGGCCGACCGTGGTTTGAGTCCTGAACCTGGTGGCTTGCTTTCTCACTTTCTCCCTCTCTCTCTCTCTGGTCAAAATAAATGAATGAATAAATAAAATAAATAATTATTGTTTTCAAAAAAGCAGCCCTTACTGATGTTTGCAATAAGTAGCCCTTTCTGGGCACAGAAATCCTAGCGGTCTGTGGTCACAGGACCATTCCTCTGGTTCTAGGTGGAAGCGAAAGAAAGCTCCCGTGAACGAGAGGCGAGCACGCCGCTTGCTCACGAGCCACTGAAGCAGCCCTGGCCCAGCTCTGATTCAAGCTGAGAGCTCTGCCTCTTGGAGCCTCGGTTTCCCACACGCTGGAAAATCGGACCCGACGCTTCCGTATTCCTGCTCATGGAGAGGAGTGAAAGATACGACTGAGGGCGAGGAGAGAGGCGCCTGAAACAGCCTGGGAAGGAACGCGGCTTACTAAGGCACAAAACGGAGCTTTAAAGTGGTCTAGGGACCAGCAGGTGGCATATGGTTCTGTTGTTGGACTCCCATGTAGTCGACAGAGGTTCAAGTCCTGGGCCGGGTTAAAACCTGGGAGGGACCAGCAGGCGGCATATTGGCTACATCACTGGAGTCCCATGTAGTCAACTGTGGTTCAAGTCCTGGACTCGGTGACTTGAAACTCACACTGGGTGAGTGTGCTTGTGTGCCCAAGATCCCAAGAGGAGAATGGAGGGGAAGGGATTTGAGGCAAGACCATCCCCCCCGGGGGGGTGATTTCAATTTCTCACTTTCTGTGCCTCTCTGGCTTCTGTCTCTCTGGCAAGTGCACACGCCCTATAGCAAAAAATCTCTCTGGAAAAATAAATAAATAAAATAAAACAAAGTGGTATAAATGGGGCCAACAGTGGTTAAGGTGCTGGACTCCCACATGGTCAACTGCAGTTCGAGTCTCAGACCCAGCAGCTTGAAAATCACAACGAAATAAGTAGATAATAAATAAGTGTTTAAAATGAATAAAAACAGTGATGTAGGCACATGGTACAAAGAAAATGAGAAACGAGAATGTCCAACGCCATCACGAAGTGGTGGAGGCCGTTTTGATCAGAGTGGAGTGGGGGCCGTACCCGTGTCTGTCCGTCTCACTCCTGCTCCATAGAAACGCACCAGGCCTCCGTCGGGAGGGTCCTGCCCTGGCCGCCAGTCACTGGTCCCTTCCCACACCATCATCGGCCACATCAGCATCCTCTGAATCTCACTCGATAGCTCAGCGCGTGGGCGGGAGGGGCCTGCTCAAACTGTAGTACCTACGAAGAGTAGTCAGGACTGGCAGGTGGCGTGGGAGTTAAGGAGTTGGACTCTCACATGGCCAGCTGCAGTTTGAGTCCTGAACCTGGTGGCTCTTTTTTCCCACTTTCTCTCTCTGGTCAAATTAATACCAATAATAAGAAAGAAAATTAAATAAATAATTCTTTTTTTTTTTTTT